CCGGTCCTTTCCCGTCACTCGCTCGTGTCGATCTCCAACTGCCACGTCGTGCTGCCGGACATTCTTGGAGCACTCCACCACATCTTGTCCTCTATAGATCGATAGTTTGCTCCACTAGTGATCATCGTTCTCTATAAGAAACGTTACTCAGACTGACGGATGCTATTTTTGCTGCCAAATTTGGCGCCATGAAACGATTTTATTTTTTAATGAGCGGTTGGTACCGCCGTTGGAAGCATGTGATGCTCTCCTGCTGCTAGATCTGACTTTTAGTGAGCATTTACCATCCCCGCTGTGGACACTCTAAGCTACTGGACTTTTGTCACACACGTAGCGCAAGTCACGCGTGTCCCGCGTCAGGTGTCTAAGAACGGGGAAAATGTCAAATGCGGTAGACCCTGAGAGTTCAAGGTTCTCGTCAACTGAATCTGCTGCCACCGAATAAGCTAGTTGTCTAAGCGCTGCAGTGACCTTCAAAAGGCTGGATATGCCCATTTTTCACGTAGCATCTCGTCGTTGTACAAAGTACGAGTCCGTCTCCACGACACCTTGTAAGATACAAAAAATAATCGGTGTGTCATCCGAAAGCGTGTCCTAAAGTCGCGAGTGTTGTAAACTGGATCGGGACCAAAGTACTGTTCCAAAAACCTCATATGTCTTCCACTCGCGTCCCTCTTTTATTAGGCGCCGGTCCGGGTCTGGAGCCTCTTGGCATAGGAAATAGATCAACATCACAAGGTTCAACGCCACAGGGCTTGGCTTCAACCACACTCAAGAGATGGAAGAGCGACTACGCCAGATCGTCTGGGAGAAGCGCAAATGGCTGATCGGAAAGGGCAATGCTCTACCGCCCGCTGCAAAGGGCGTCATCTGCGACATCGACGTGGGCAACGCGAGACCCGTCGCACAGCGCGTCAGGAAGATCTCACCACAGTTCCGCGAGAAGCTAGCAGACTTGATTCGGGGGCTACTTAGCGCGCGCATGATCCGCGCGTCGAAGTCACCGTGGGCCTCCCCAATCGTTGTCATCGTGAAGAAGAACGGAGTCGACATTAGACTCTGCGTCGATTACAGGTTGGTCAACGGGTTGACCCAGCTGATGGTGTATCCAATGCCGCTGGTCACGGATCTCTTGGAGGATTTGGACAACTACCGGTGATACTGTTCTCTGGATATGGCCAGCGGGTTTTGGGTAGTGCCTATGAC